ATATTATTATTATTATAATTGTTAAAACAGGGTGAATGATTTATGTACCTGAAAAGGGAACTAGTTGACACGATGTTTTTCTGAGTATTGATATATAATTAAATAAGAAAAAGAAAAAAAAAAAGAAACCCTGCCTTGATTCTGCTTAATATAAAATGGGGGAGAGGAACATTCTGGCTATCTTTCAAGATTCCATTATTATACCATAGAACAATCTTTCTCAACATTGGCAACTTTAAGATGTGTGGACTTCAACTCCCAGAATTCCCCAGCCAGCGTGCTGGCTAGAGAATTCTGGGAGTTGAAGTCCACACAACTTACAAAGAAACATTGCTATAGAACAATAGCGTAGCATTCCTGTAATACTTGTGCTGTCTGTTTCCTGACCTGGTCCACTTTGAAAGGCTGACAATCAGGTAGAGAATTCTTGGAAAGAAAAATGTTTCACCGAAAAGGACCATGATATTAGTGATCTTAGGAACACTGATATATGTAGCAGGATGCTTTTATCAGTACTGTACTCAGGAGAGAGCAACAGAATTGGAGCTAGGTTATTCTAGAAAAAGAGATTTTATTGATAAAATTATAAGGTACATAGAAGCACATCCTTTCCAGAGGAAAGTTTGAGATAGAAGAGAAAAGCTGATTATAAGAAAGTGGAATGGTTCACTAATTCTAATCTGTTGAGAAATACTTCAAAGAGAAAAGATCATAGAATTCCTCAACATCAAAATTCCTTTTCCTAAACTACAGCAAATCTTTACCCAACAAGATTGCAAGATGCAGTACTGTTTTTGCAAGATGCAAATGCAAGTGCTGAAACTTTCCATCCATTATAAAAGAGAGGGCAGAACTCCATAAATATGGACACAGTGGACACTTTACTGTAATCTTTGGGAGGTACAGAACAATGGCCAGCACTATTTAGCAGGATCTCTATTTAATATGGCAAATAATAATATAATAATTTTATCCCACTTTTTAAATATTCAAAGTGGCAAACATACCTAATACTCCTGCCTCTTATTTTCCCCATAACAGCAACCTTGTGAGGTGGATTGGACTGAGAGAGAGTGACTGGCCGAAAGTCACCCAGCTGGCTTTCATGCCTAAGGGAGGACTAGAACTCACTCTTATGGTTTCTAGGCCGGCTTCTTAACTGCTACATAAAACTGACTCTCCAAATACTAAACGGGAAGCACACAGGAAAACTTATGATGACCATGAAAACTTGGATCTTCCCCCAGACATTGGGCTAGCATGGAGGTTGAGCTGGGAGGCTGTTTGGTCTGGTGCCTGGGACAAATGGTGGTTTTGTTTTTATCTCTGTTTTTATTGATTGTTGTGAGCTGCCTAAGATCATTATATGAGATAGGTAGCCATATATGTTCTGTAAGTAAATAAATAAATAAATGACAAATTATAAAGGAGAGATCCGGAGGTGGTCAGTGGAAAGATTTCCATTTGAAAAAAACATAGGGGCAGTTAAACTTTACAGAATGAAGCCATATTTACATTGTGATTATGTGTTGCTGCATATTAGAAGGCAATTTGTTAATCAGGGGCAAGATGTCATAGTTACAGTATAATTCAAGTGACTCGCCTTTGTTTGTTTAAGAACACCTTACCTTAAACACAGAGGATCAAATGCTGTCTTGTCTTGTATCAGGAAAGGATGAGAATTGGCCATTCCAAAATACACTGCCCAAATTTTCACATTTTACAAATTAGCTATTAAAGAAAAATATGCGTTGTAAGAGAATAGCAGCTGTGAGGACAAAATGGATGTTACCTGATATTCCTTAATAATGCAGATCTGTAAAGATAAGAAACATCATGTTGGGCAATGATGGAGCTTCCAGAGGAATTCTTGTGAGGTATATTGGATTTCTATCTCTTTGAAAAGTTATAACCTAATGCCTTTCCTTCATTCACCAAATTCTTCCAAAATTTCAGGCCTTTTACATCAAAAGTACCATAAGAAAAATATTAAGCATTTTGTAGCACATTTCTGCAGTTTTGAATTCTAGCATTTCATGTTTTCCTACTCTTAATAGGTGTAATAATGAAGATATACACAAGTTGCCACAGCAATGGTTATGCACTGTCCTGGAAGAAATTAAATCAAGTGATCCTTCATCTAAACTGTGTGTCACTAGACGCAGTGCTGGAATTCCATTCTATATACAGGTACCATTGATCTTGATATGATTACAGTTTCTGGGTTGGATTGTTTGAGAAGTGCACTGTGAATTTGTTAGTTAAATACTAAGAGGTTGCTGGTTTGGGATGGTTGTTTTTTGGTTTACCTACCTACTTTATTTTAAATCCAGATACAAACCAAGAAACCAATTCCAAATATGCAACTATGCAATCCAGTAAATTTGATTTTTGAAAATACAGAGCATAAATCAGTGCAAAGCAATGGACTGACATCTTCTGATGATAGGATTATTCTAGTGGTATCAGTACTTTGGAGACACCTGTGAAGCTTAACTGGATCAACGAGCCTTTTTGAGTTGTTACTAGTAATATTTTAGATGAAATACAATATCCTGCCCACAATATGGGCACCTTTTGTCGAAATACTTGCTCTGAAGTCCTACATATTGTTAACAAATATGATTTAGGAGAATTACTTGAATTCAAGACCATTTCCTAATACATTTCTACTGGGAATCTTTTAAACAATAGCTAGTGTACATCTTGATAACTACATATACACCATTCACTTTCAATTAAAGAGCTTTGAAGCACAAATAAAATGTTCTTCAGAGAACACAAAGTTATAATTAATTCTAATAATTGTAGTTATAGACCAAAGTAATCTAGATGGAGAATAAAAAATAAAATGCAAGTTAAATGAAACACAAAATGTGTGCTAACAGTTCAAAATAAAAGAACAAAAAATCTAGAAAGGAGGCTTGATCGTGATGAGAAGATACTTTTAATATTCAACCCTCGCACTTCAGTCAAATCCAACACATATAGTATATGCATACAAATATACTAGTCTCCAAAAAGGGGGTATCCCCCCAAACCTTCTCCAGAGGGTTTACGGACCTTCTGAAGTACTTTTGGCAGAGTGTATGCAGGAGGAGAATAAACGGAAGATTCATTTAGTGTTTTAAGTATCAGTATTACATTTCCTGTGTTATATGCTCCATGCCTGTTTTAGAGACAATCATAACACTGAAGATAGAGGAAATTCAAAATTCTGTTGGAGAATTGCTTTTAGGTTATTAATCACTTTATTTTCTCCATGGATTTTGGAAACTTGTTCTCTGAGATGGGACAAGATACAAAACAGTGACTTAAAGATACTGAAATGTAAAATGCATGTGCACACAAACACTAAGTTGCAGCTTTTCTCATAGTGTCTTTGTCTGCTTCTTCTAAATACTGGTTTTCCATTTAGTATTTGAGTCAATTACTATTTTGATGCCACTTTTATGGCCCAAATGTTGAACAATGATCTCTACTTGCTGTATTTTCTTATCCATCGCTGCAAGCAACATGAGCATTTATAGAGCTGGTGATACCTTTTTTCAATAGCTCTTACAATTTTTTACTTCCTTTGTCCTAAACACAATCAGTTTAAAGAACTTTTTGATTTTTTAACTAATTACTTCAGTTTCCAAAAAAATACCGTGTGAGAATTTTGCATGTGTATGAATGAATGCCCACTGAAATGTAAATCACAATTCTGCATTTTGCTTGAATGAAATGTTTAAACATTCCTTTTCTACTTCTTGAGACTTGAAGCTTATGCTTGTTATTCTAAGTTGTTATGTTTAAGTGTAATAAAAGTGAGAAGTGTATATCATTTTATTTTATTTTTTAATTTCAGGCTTTGCTAGCTTCAGAACCAAAGAAAGGTAAAGCAGGCCTACTAAAAATGACCATGAAAGGTTTGATAAGCTTGGCTTTACCTTCAGATATGCCATCAAGCACAATTTCTCAGGTAATACATCTCTCTGTCTCTGCTAATTCAGAGTAGAAAGTCTATGGAAGTATCATTATTAATTTAGGATTTAGTTTCTGTAGATTTTATGGGATCCACACTTTTGTTAACTGTTTTTCTATTTTTGGCTGTATCCTTAGAATATAAGGAGAAAGTGAGAGCAGAGCAAAATTAAAGGAGGGTGGGGGAAGCAGAATTTAAATTTGATATGATTCCTCCTTCTATACTTAAAATTTCTCATCTTCTATCCAATTGTGATTAAATTGAGGAGAGACTCTGGGGGCCATATCTAAATCTCAAGGGCCTTAAGTTATGAGTCCTCCTGTGGAATGATCATGAGATACAGGGGGCTACTAATTAGGACTTGCAGCCCATTCATATTTTTTTGTAATAAAGTTGACATACAGAATTTTGTGATACATTTCCAAAACTAAAATAACTTATATTAACTTTCCCCCCCAGGTTCATGCATTAAATATCTTGAGAGCTTTATTCAAGGATACCCGCTTAGGTGAAAACATAATTCCTTATGTGGCAGATGGAATGCGAGCAGCAATATTAGGTTTTACTTCTTCTGCCTGGGCAGTAAGTTGATCCTTTACTTTTAGTATATTAACTGGAAAGTCTTGTGTTAATGGTGGCCGGACCATGGATTATGGTTTTCTATAATATTATAATGTCTGGTTAATTTTTTAATAAATTATTTTTATAAATTAGATGGAAGGTGTGCTGAGTATATAGCTAACACGCTAGCATTGGAAAAATGCTATCAAACAGCATATAATACCGCTGAAATTGAAATTGGCTCTTATATTCACTAACTTTTGATTTTATTTTTATTTAGCTTTTTGTACGGAAGGCTAAATATTTATCTGACTGAAAAAAATGGAGCTCCATTATCTTACGACACAGAATGCAGCTTCTGATTGGTTTGTTGAAATTAAAATCCAATTAGTTTTAAACATTTGTTATCTTCAACTACTGCTTAGCCAATTAAAACAATTTTAGCCAGTAGTAGTCTCTTGGTCTAAAATAAGGGAGTATTTTTTTTACTAGTTTCACTGGCATTTCAGAATCATGTTAAGTTGCATGCAGACCATGAGCATCTCTCTGTGTCACATATTCTGTACATTCACAGAAATGTACACTATTCATGTACATAGCTCTCTGTGCATAGAGAAAGGAGCTGCCTACTTCTCTATGCATGGCAAAGAATGCAAATGATTTGACAATTCAAGAAGAAATGTACCATCTTTCCCATGAGCAGATTACTTTTTTTTCCTCTGTCAATTCTGAAAGGGGCTATACCTTTGAACATAGGAAAAAAAACAGTCTGGCCACGGAGGAAGGGACTCAGTCTCTTCCTTACTAGACTGGAATGCTGTTCTCTTGAAAGTGCAGGATAGCTTCCAGTGAGATCCTGCAAGTATGCATAGGGAGACTACGCAGCCAGTTGTTCTTCACCTATGATCTAAATAAGGTCATATTGTTTATATATTTAAACTTTTATTCACAATCTTTAATCTACAATCTATTTCATATGGGACTATTATGCACTGCAGGCTATTGAAAGCAGCAGACACCTAATATTAACATATATATTAAAAATTGATAGAAATATAATGGATCAGTATGCCAAGATATTTTGGGGAGTTATTAAGATGTCGTAAATGTACTTTATCGATAAATCATACTAATACATAAAACTGAAACTGCAGTTAAGAGGTTTATGTGCATAGATGGTCAGAAAAAAACAGATCACTGGTCAAATAAGAAATTTGGCAAAAGAATCAGAGACTAAGCAAATCTATAAAATATATTCAGTTATAGGCACTAGCCAGAAGATGCCACTGCTTTGAGCATCTGCCCAAGGAAGTCTTTCCACAGCTGTAAGGATTTTCTTACTATTAGAGCAAAGAGGAAGCAGAATTTCTGGAATCAGCTCAGTCCTCTTTTTCAGGAGGATTGAGACTAAATATTTTATATGAACTGCTGAACAAGTTTTACAAAATAACAAGTAATGCGGAATATCTTCTGCAGTGCCCTTAACCGCAAGGGCACTGACAAAGATTACAAACAACCGTCTTGTACATCAAGTACAACTGAAAATACTTGCTGCCTTCTTAATCATATCAAGAAATTCCTGTTGTCATGGTTAAT